GAGTTCCATGTTGCAAGACAGAAACTGACTTAGAGGAGGCATCTTTTCCTTGATTTTGTCCCTCATCTGCGCCTGCCCTCGGGCTCTGGTGGGAATGAGGGGGATTCTAGGCGGGTGAGAGAGTCAGGGGGGCGGGACCTCCCCGGGAGGCGGGCTCCGAAGCTGCCCGGTCCCCGGGGGTGGTTTCCATAAACCCCACCCCGTGTCTCCTCCCCTTTGCCTGTCCACGCAGAGCGGGACGCCTTCGACACCCTGTTCGACCACGCCCCGGACAAGCTCAGCGTGGTGAAGAAGGTAGGCCCTGGGCTGGGCTCTCTGCCTCTGTCTCCAGGCTTTTTTACTCGGTGCTGGGAAGAAGGTGGGAACACGTTTGCAATCTCTGAAATGTTTGCCACGTGGATTGAAGTGTAATTATAGGCAAAAACGTAACTACAGTGCATAAAATTAGCACCTTTTAACTCAACATCTCCGCTCCCCGGGCGTCTTCCTGCCCGCCCCGCCCGCTCCTGTTGGGTGAATTATCCCGCCAGGGCCACTATGGTGCTTCGTTCCGACTCGGGGCTCTTTCTCAACGTGGGAATGTTTTCAAGCACGTCCACCTGCTGGCTCTTGCAGGCCTCGTGGCCATGAAGCTGTATTCACAACCTGCCCGGTTAGCAGGCAGGCCTTTGAGCTGCTCTGTGCGTGCACTTGGCCCATTTCCCCCACCGCCACGCAGGAGCGCAAGGACAGGCCCCCTCCCCGCCCCGCCCCCAGCCCAGGCAGCCTGCGCGTAAGACCCTGGATATAGAACAAACCGGGCCAACCGAGACTGGAGTCAGGGGCTGGGGAATGACGAGCTTCCAGGGGCATCCGCCAGGAGGGATTGTTCTCGCCCAGAAGGAATCGAGACCCAGCCCACTGGAGTTCTCTGAGCGCCTGCAGACGCCTCCCTCGAGGAGGCAGCGGGAGGGTGGATGTGCTTTCCGCCTTCCTGTGAAATCCAAGGAGCAATCGTTTCTGCCCTTGACCTGGGGGAGAGAGCGCTTTGTCTGGGACAATTTCCCAGAACAGGTTTCTTAATGCAGGACTTCTCAGGGCCTTTAATATGCTGCCGTGCATTGGAATTCTCCAAGAGGGGGCTGGGTAGGGAGCATTTTCCAAACTTGTTTGTCGATAGTGACATCTGTTGATCCATTTATTTTGTTAAATACGTTAAATTAAATTCCTATGGAGCCCACTTTTGGAAAATGCCGGTCCAGCCTGGGACCATGAGATTATGAGTTCTTGGAAGTACTTTGCAAAAGGCTGGCACAACCATCCCAGTGGTCCTTCTGGGGCGGAGCCTTCTTAGCATCCTTGGGTCACGAGTGGCCCGCCTTGGGGCCTCAGAGCAGTGCCCCTCCCTCCTCCCCCTGCCACATCTGGCCCCCAGCAACCCTGACAGAACCGTCTGGATGCACAGGGAGATTCAAATCTGGCTGCCCCATCTATCAACTGCGTGACCTGAGGCAGACGATAACCCGTACCTCAGTTTCCCCATCTGTCAGGGCCAAGGCAGGACTCCCCTCTCCGGGGCTCTGTGAGAGCAGCATATAATCAGGTCCAGCAGAGGCCTAGCACGAAGTGTATCAGCTATCGCTGAGTACGATGTGGTTAAGGTTCAACTTTCAGTAGATAGGCTATTGATTCGTTCTTCGAAAAGA